TGGCTCTGGGGAGCAGACGGGAGGGGGGAGCTGGGTCTGGTTGGTGCTTTTTTCACACACTCCCCCCGCAGCATGCCCTCTGAGCCAGAAGCCGGAGTTGGTGCTCCCAGCCTTGCAGCTGCCTGGACTCCCTGATGCATGGGGAGGACAGAGGCTGAACTGCGGACCCACCTGGGAGGTGGCCGTGGACCACTAGTTGTCCACAGACCACACGTGGAGAACCACTGGTCTAGTATTTAGGGCTCTATTTTAACAAAACCTGTTGGTTTTGTCCGGGCTCTCTTAATTATTATGGAGCTTGACTATTCCAAAACAATCCTAACTGGGTTTGTCGGCTGCCCATTGGTTTGTGCTGCAGGAGAAAGGTCTGAACAGACCAGTTAAGAGATTATGATTCATCCATAAAAACATAACCCTAAACAATTGTCACACAGGTACAAAAAGATAAAAACAACTCATCCGCTTTTCACTCCGCTGTGCCGTGGCACTTAGGTTATTTCATGCCACTGCCACCCGATGCATGGTCAGTGGTAGGGGAGTATGGGTTCAGAGGAATTGCTAGTGCAGTCTGTATGGCAGGGGATGTATTTGGATAATACATGACTGCGGAATAACTGTTCTTCACTGTTTCAGCAAGGGTCGGAGGCAAGTGACTTTTCCAGTGGCTCTTAGCTCTTCCCTGTACGTTGAGCTTCTCAAAATGTGGCCAGAAAAAAACGAACTCATGATGATAACTGTTCACTGCCTTTGTCCAGCAAGAGGAACTTTGTCGCTCATGTTTTCAGCTGCACTTCTAATGACTAACTGCTAACTGTAATATTAAAACTAACAACATAAAAAACCTCTCCTGCACCTGTATCCCTTGCCAGGCCCTGCACCCCCTCCTGCAGGCTTCTCAAAATGTGGCCAGAAAAAAACGAACTCATGATGATAACTGTTCACTGCCTTTGTCCAGCAAGAGGAACTTTGTCGCTCATGTTTTCAGCTGCACTTCTAATGACTAACTGCTAACTGTAATATTAAAACTAACAACATAAAAAACCTCTCCTGCACCTGTATCCCTTGCCAGGCCCTGCACCCCCTCCTGCAGCTCAATCCACAGCTCCAGATCACCCCCCCCCTTTGCCTTAGGTCACAGCCCAAATCACTGCATGTCTTCCCTGATCACAACTCTCTAACAGACTCTCCACCCCCTCCTGCATCCCAATCCCGTACTCAGGTCAGAATCCCCTCCGACCCTCTGTTACAGCCCAGACCCCTGCACCTCCTCCAGATCACAACCCACTCCCAGACCCTGCACCCTCACACCCCTCTTCCAGGGCAGAATCCTCTCCTTCACACAAATCACCTCCCAAACTCTGCACCTCCTCCTGCACCCCAGTCTCCTGCCCCGGGTCACAGCCGCCTCCTTCACTCAAACTCCCTCCCAGACCCTGAATTCCCTCTTTCACCCCTACACCCCTTCTGCACCCAACCTCCATTCCAGACTCTGCACCATGGAAGAGTACGGCCCTGGACCGTTTACCAAATTATTGCCCACCCCGTGTTAATGCATTCCAGAATATTCGCTTTTTTCACAACTATGACATGTTGCCGGCTCATGCTTTGTTTGTGATCCATTATAAATCCCCAGACCCCCTTCTGTAGGACTACCACCTGGTCAGCAATTCTCCATTTTGCTTTCGTGCGTGTGATTTTTCTTTCCTAAGTGTAGTCCTTTGCATTTGTCTTTCCTGAATTTCATCTCATTGACTTCTAGTCCTGCCTCTTCAAGGCTGGTGGGAAAGGAGGAGAGATGATCATTTTGTCTCTCTGGAGCAGCGGTTCCCAACCTTTTCCAGATGGGGACCCATTTTGACAATTCAGGAAGACTTGGTGACTCGGGGCAATTCAAAGAAATGTGTGAATGGCTCCTTAAGAGCCACCTGGGGAGACATCTGGTGACCCTTTTGAAATGTAATGGCAACCCATATTTGGGTCCCAACCCATAGGTAGGGAAACCCTTCTCTGGAGGCAACTGGACACAACAGATGCCAACAGAATTACGTAGGGTGAAATCTTTGCCCTAATGAAATCAAAGGAAGCTTTGACATTAACTTTAATATAGTCAGGATTTCACCCCATATAGACGTGATAACCGGTCCACGTTTTCAAAGTGACTTATCTCTGCCATTACAGGAAACAAAGGACTGCTGAATCTTTTTTTAAAATCAAAGCTGGAACAGTTTAGGCACCATTTGGGTGATCAGAGAAAAAAAGTGATTAATGGCTTTTGTCTGGCTAAACAAACTATCAAATTTGGTCATTATAAGCGTAGTATGATGAAAAGATGCCAGTGATTTCAGTAGTGGTCACAGGACACAAGATTATTATTTGCATTGTGACAGCACCTACAAGCCCCTGTCACAGTCCAGCACCCCACTGTGTGATGTGCTTTACTAACACAGAAGACAGAACAGTCTAAAGATGTTGAATCTTTCCTATTCTTCTAGTATTATATTGCTCTTTGGTCTGCTATGGCTAAATAGAGCCCCCAGATTAAATGACCGGATACTCACCAGATCTGAGAGACTGTTAGCCATGTCCTAGGAAGGGCTGCCTGCTGTTGGTCACAGACTCTTTGGTGTCAAAGGGAAGTGTGTTCTAGGTGTCCTTATTTGAGTTATGCGGTGGCACCAGTAGCAAACTGGCACCATGTGATTCAAGTTAAATTTTACTTTCAGGCTTTTCAGTTACCTGCAGTCTATTTCAGCTTCTGTACAAAGTTTAGTGAGGCTGGATTAAATATTTGAACCAGGAGTTATGCCCAGTCAATTGAAGCGGCCTTTTTGGTGAGAAACGTATTTTCTGAAGTTCTCACTGACAGCAGGAAAGGAAGGAATTTAGTGTAGGCTTCAATTCTAAATAGGACTCGTTCTATTGTAGCTTATTTTGTCTGTAATAGGCATTGAAAATTAGTTGGGAGTTGTTATCTGGCAGAAGTGGTAGGTGCCATGGGTGGAATTCGGACACTGAATGTTAGGACTGTAATGTAAAAGTGAATAAGTCTGTCCCCGTTGTTCTACTGTTAATTGGAGTGCACTTTACAACAGCCATTATTTATGACAGTTGAATTGCTTCATTGGTTTAGTGGTGGATGCTTTGCTAAACAGCCCTGCAACAGGGAATCAGGGTGTTATGTGAGTGGGTTTTAATAGGAACTGTGACAGGGTGTGGCGTTAGGACTGTAATGTAAAAGTGAATAAGTCTGTCCCCGTTGTTCTACTGTTAATTGGAGTGCACTTTACAACAGCCATTATTTATGACAGTTGAATTGCTTCATTGGTTTAGTGGTGGATGCTTTGCTAAACAGCCCTGCAACAGGGAATCAGGGTGTTATGTGAGTGGGTTTTAATAGGAACTGTGACAGGGTGTGGCAACCCTGCCACTATTTCCCGCAAGTGGGTCGGGTCGGTGTCGGTGTGTGGGAGGGGCCGACTCGGTCAGCAGAAGAACCGGCACTGCCAGACGCTCATGTGTGTGGGGGCGAGCGAGTGCGGTGGGGAACGCGGCAGCCAGGGGTTAGGTGGGGCAGCAGGAGAGCATCCCACCGGAGCGACGGATAGGGAAGGGAGGGGTGATGTCACACGTCGGGCGGGAGAGCGGGAGAAGGATAAAAATGGGAGAGGGAACACAGGTAGGGGAAAGGTGGGGAACGGAGAAAGGTATGGGGGTCAGAACTCAGGGGAGGGAGGAGAGGAGAATGTAACCCCGATAGGGGTTCCGGTGGCAGAGTCGACTGAGGCCCAGGGTAGGGTCATGGAGCCCGAGAGTAGGTGTGTTTAGGGGTAAACCTCCGCCTGCTTCCACTGGGGGCAAGATCCCCAGTGTTAGGGCCCTGGGCCGGGGTCTGGGAGCGTGGGTGGGCCCGGACCCCCTTCCCTGCCACCAGCAGTTGAATGGCACACACCACGCCGAGGCAGAACTGTTGGCCCTGCTACAGCCCGGCGACCGGGGGGTGGGGAAGACATGGGTAGTAGGGATAACCCGAGGTGATCGGGGCATGCGAGACATGTAGAGTAATGGGACCTAGAACCCGAATAAACGTTGATTCGTGACAGGAACAAGCAGGTAATTGTTGCACCTACGGGTGGTGTTTGCCCCAAATTTTGTGCCACGTGGGCCAAGTGAGGCATCTAACGAAAGCCAATGCTCTGTGCGCTACTCACATACCTGTATGGTTTTTAGATAGAAAGACCTGACTGTGGGCTCTGTACTTGCGTTTGAAATGTTTTCTGGCTGGGAGACAGCAATAGGCATCGACCACCTATTGTGAGGAGTGGTTAGTCCGTGAGGAACTGTGCTGATTAGCCATGCTGCACAGACAATGGCTCTCAAGGTTGCCAATAAACACCTGAGGGATGTGGCTGGGAACCTGCAGAACAGCAGGCACCCTGTGGCTCTAGGCTACGGAGACGTGGACAGGTCACTGGATCATGTGATCAGCTCCCGTTTGGGAGGTCCCATCAAAACAAGGGATTTCCCTCCACACAGGCAAGGTGATAAAAGCATCCGGGAGGGAGCCTCCATCTTTGTCTTCACTCCTGCTCTCCACTCCAGAAGCACCTTTGTCAAGGACAGAAGGCAGGGAAATCGCGTCAGCGAGAGTCTAAGTTAGCCATTTGTAACATTTCTGCGAAGAGCCGGCATCAGGAGCTTGGTGACTGATGAGAGAGAAAGCTGTCGCCTGCCATTTCAGCCAGACTGATCATTCCCTTAATGACCGTAAAACATGCATATTGCTTCAAAGAGACTTTAACTCCAGACTTCAACGAGATGCTTCAGAATTGTCATTCATACTTAAATTTGACACTTTATGTATGGGTTTAAACAAAGACTCTAATTATCTCACCCATTACAAAAATAGCTTCCCCAATTATCACCCCTAATGACATTACCTCACAGAAACTTACCTTCCCCCCTCACCCCCACTCTGTTCTAAAATTTGATTTGTCAATTTCACATGCGGTCATTTTTTTTATTGCATCACTTTGGTATATATGGTTGTGCCAATTCTCTTCCAGAATTTGATCTGAGGAAGGTGGGTCTGGCCCACGAAAGCTCATCATCTAATAAACCATCTTGTTAGTGTTTAAAGTGCTACATAGTCCTGTGTTTTGTTTTGGTGACTGATGTGTGTCATGGGCTTTCTTTAACAATCTCACTCTCCACCTTTTCTGTCTTTCTATTGAAAAAACTTTCAATTTTCAATTCTAAAGAACTAGGCCAGCAGGCTCTTTTGGATCAAATCTGAGGTATAGATTGGCCTGGGACTGTGGCTGGTCCTTTGAGACCATGAGAACCTGTTTGAAGGCAGTGAGGGTGGATTTCATAACTCTCCTCTGTGTAAGGAGCGGGGCTGGTTGTGGCACAGGTAAAGCTGGAATGTCTAAGGGGATTTGCTTGTGCAAATTCTTGCTGGCCAGATTGGTCACTAGAGTACTCGGTGTGATTGGTTTGGTGCCTTACAGGGAGGGGCCCCAGTCTTGGGCTGTAAGTAGCCCTGGTTCTAAGGAATTTGCCCTGATTTAACCCCCTCAACAGTGCCCCCAGGCCGCTGTTACATTACACAGGGTCTACCAGCTAAGCATTCAGTGCCAATTCATTATTTACTACTCTCCCTCCAACTTTTGCTGCTTGCTTTGCTAGCTCTTTTTTAAGTCTGTCTCCCTGTGCCAGCCTGTACAAACCCTGTGCTTGTGAGGCAAGGGTCCTAATTAACCCACAGGTGGGGGAGCACATGAAGTCTCCTCTCGCCGCCAGGGGCATGGGTGCCTAAAGGAAATTTGCGGCGGGGGGAGGGTGGAGCTCCCCCACCCCAGACGGATCATGGTCTGTGAGTGGGGAAGCCTGGCAGCATTGTGGCCTTGCCCCTGCCATCTGAGGCTCCGCTCCTTCCGGAGCAGTCCAGAGCTGGCAAAAAATTATTGCCTACCCCTGTTCTACGCAATGCTTATTTGCATATGCTGATTGCTCCACAGTCCCTCTTCTTCCGTTTTTCCCTTCAACCTGTATTACTTCCCTCCCCACTTTTTTCAACCCCAGAGTTTTTACAAGACCCATTGCAGCTGTAGGAATTCACCCCTGGAAGCAGGCAATCATAGTTATTCACGGGACAGTCTGGGGCATTCTCACCTAGAGTCAGGAGCTCTCATATTCCTGACTTTAAATCTTTTGTTGGTCTGATCGTGAACCTTGCAAGTTTTCAGTCTCCTAGGCGGAAACAGGTTTACCCTGGAATTAACTTCCATATAGAGCTCACAAATGGGAAAGCTCTTCCAAGCAGTCAGGCATCTTGGAGAAGTCCCCTAGTACAGGGTAGGCCCAACAAAGAAAGCAACAGAACGCCACTAACCATTACCCTCTATTACACATCCTCAAGGGTCTACAACATATTCTAGATGATGAACCCTCACTGTGACAGCCCTTGGGGGGCAGGCCAGTCCTCGCTTACAGACAGCCCCCCAACCTGCAGCAAATACCTTCAATGTCACACCCCACAGCAGAATCACTAACCCTGGAACCAATCCCTGCAACAAACCCCAATGCCAACTCTGCCCACACATCTACCCAAGTGACATCATCCCAGGACCTAACCACATCAGGCACATCATCAAAGGCTCGTCCGCCTGCACATCTCCTAATGCCCCTCTGCCATGGACATTGAACAAACCCGACTGCCTCTATGCAGAAGAATAAATAGACACAAATCAGACATTAAGAATGGCAACATACAAAAACCAGTGGGGGAGCATTTTAACCTCCCTGGGCACACAGTTTCTGACTTGAAAGCTGCAATTCTCAGGCAAAAAAAATCTTCAAGAACAGACTGAAATGAGAAACTGCTGACCTGGAATTCATATGCAAATTTGACAGCCCAAAAAGAGATTTAAATAGACACTTAGGCTACGTCTAGACTGCAAGCCTCTTTCGAAAAAGAGCATCTAGACTATAACCAGTACTTCTGAAAAAACAAGCCACTTTTTCGAAAGAGAGCACTACCCAGGCAGTCTGGATGCTCTTTCGAAAAAGCACAGTTTGCATTACATAGCACCTTTTTTTGAAAGAGCACGTTCGAAAAAAGGCGTTATTCCTTGTAAAACAAGATTGTCCGCGGTCGAAAAAACTGCTGCATTCTTTTGATTTACTTTCGAAAGAACATGGTAGAAGTCTAGATGCAGGGGAAGTTTTTCGGAAAAAAAAAAGGCCACTTTTTTTTGAAAAAACCCTGTAGTTTAGACACATACTTAGGCTAAGTCTAGGCTGCAAGCTTCTTTCGAAAGAGGGCATCTAGTCTATAACCAGTATTTTTGAAAAAGCAAGACCACTTTTTTGAAAGAGAGCACTCAGGCAGTCTGGATGCTCTCTTTTGAAAAAGCACAGTTTGCATTACATAGCGCCTTTGTTCGAAAGAGCACTTTTGAAAAAAGGCGTTATTCCTCATAAAATGAGGTTTTCTGCGGTCGAAAAAACTGCCGCATTCTTTTGATTTACTTTCAAAAGAATGTGGCATCACGTCTAGATGCAGGGGAAAAAACCCCCCTGTAGTCCAGATACACCTTTGGAGTGGTTCTCACATTGCAA